ACGAGAGAGTACTCCAGGGGAGAGTACTCATTGATACAGTATACCAGGGGAGAGAACACCAGGGGAGTGTACACCATGAGCGAATAAACCAGTAAGAGTACTCCATGTGTGAGTTCACCAATGAGAGTGCTCCTAGTTAGAGTGCACCAGGGGAGAATATATCAGAGAAGATTACATCAAGGGAGAGTACACTAATGGAGAGTACACCAGGGGAGAGTACACCAGAGGAGAGTTCATCAGGGGAGAGTAAATTAGGGAAGAGTATATCAGGGGAGATTACACCAGGGAGAGTACACCAGGGGAGAGTACACCAGGGGAGAGTAAACCAGGGAAGAGTATATCCAGGGGAGAGTACTCCTGGGGGAAGTACACTTGAGAGTCCACCTCGGGAGAGTACACCTGGGGAGAGTTCTCCAGGGGGAAAGTACACAAGGGGAGAGTACACCAGAAAAAGTACACCAGGGGACAGTACTTCAGAGAAGAGTATACCTGAGAAGAGTGCGCCAAGGAAAAGTACACCAGGGGAGAGTATACGAAGGGAGATAACTCCAAGGGAGAGTCCATCAGGGGAGAATACACCAAGGGAGAGTGCACCAGGGGAGAGATCATCAGTGGAGAGTACACTAGAGGAGAGTTCACCGGGGAACCTTAAACCTGGAGAGAGTACACCAGTTGAGAGTACACTAGGGGAGAGTACACCAGGGGAGAGTACTTTACGGGAGAGTACACCAGGAGAAAGTACACCAGGGGAGAATACTCCAGGGGCGAGTGCACCAGGGAAGAGAACACCAACGGAGAATATAGCAGGTGAGAGAACACTAGAGGAAGACTACACCAGGGAAGAGTACACCAGGAGAGAGCAAACGAGGGGAGAGTACACCATGGGAGAGTACACAAGCGGAGAGTACTCCAGGGGACAGTACACCAGGGGGAAGTACACTAGAGAGAGTACTCCAGAGGAGAGAAAACCAGGAGAGAGTGCACCAGGGGAGAGAACTACAGGTGAGAGTACTCCTGGGGAGAGTACACCAAGGGAGTACACCAGGTGAGAGTACTCAAGGGGAGAGTATACCAGGAGAGAGTACAACAGGGGAGAGGACAACAGTTGAGAGTACACGAGGGGAAAGTTCACCAATAGGGAGTAGACCTGGGGGGAGTACACCATGGGAGAGTACACCATGGGAGAGAACACCAAGGAAGAGTAATCTAGGGGAGCGTATAGCAGGTGAGAGTACACTAGGGAAGAGTACTCCGTGGGAGAGTATACCAGGAGAGAGTACACCTGGGGAGAGAACTTCAGGGGAGAGTACTCCAGTTGAGAGTACACCATGGGAGAGTACACCAGGCGAGAGTACACTAGGAGAGAGCACACGAGGGGAGAGTACACTAGGGTAGAGTACACCAGAGGAGAGTACACCAGGGGAGAGTACACCAGGTGGAGTACACCAGGGGAGGGTTCTCCAGGGGAGAGTACACGAAGGGAAAGTTCACCAATAGGGAGTTCACCTGAGGAGAGTACACCAAGGAAGAGTACTCTAGGGAAACGTAAAATAGGAGAGAGTACTCTAGGGAAGAATTCTCCAAAAGAGTATACCAGGAGAGAGTACTCCAGGGGAGAGTACACCAGGAAAGAATACCCTGGAGAGAGTACACCAGGGGAGAGTACTCCAGGATAGAGAACATCAAAGGAGAGTTCACCAGGGCTAAGAACACCAGGGGAGAGTACCCCAGGGGAGAGTACACCAGTTGAGAGTACACCAGGGAGAGTACAACAGTTAAGAGTAGGGTAGAGTACAATAGGAGAAAGTACAACTCTAGGGGGAGTACCCCAGAGGAGAATACACCAGGGGTGAGTACTCCAAGGAAAAGTACACCAGGGGAGAGTACTCAAAAAGAGAGTGCACCAGTGGAGAGAACCCAACGGAGAACACAACAGGGGAGAGTACACCAGCGATGCGTAAATCTGGGGAGAGTACACTAGGGGAGAGCACTCTAGGTGAGAGTACACCAAGAGAGAGTATTCCAGGATAGAGTACACCAGAGGCGATTACAACAATGAAGAGTACTCCAAGAGAGAGTACACCAGGGGAGAGAACACCAAGAGAGAGTACACCATTGGAGAGTACACCAGGGAAGAGTACAACAGGTGACAGTACTCAGGATAGAGTACACCAGGGGAGAGTTCACCAGGGGAAAGAACTCCAGGGGAGAGTACGCCAAGAGAGAGAACACCAGTGGAGAGTATACCAGGAGAGAGTACACTAGGGAAGATTACACTAGGGAGAGTACAACAGTTGAGAGTACACTTAGGGAGAGTACACCAAGGGAGAGTACACTAGGGGGAGTACACTAGGGAGAGTACAACAGTTGAGAGTACACTAGGGGGAGTACATCAGGGGAGAATACACCAGGGAAGAGTACTCAAGGGGAGAGGGCACTACGGGAGAGTACACCAACGAAGAATAAACCAGGGAATGTTCACTAGGGGAGAGTACGCCAGCGGAGAGTGAATCTGGGGAGAGTACACTATTGTAGAGTACACCATTGGAAAGAACACTATTTGTGAGTACACCATTGGAAAGAACACTTGGTGAGTACACCAGGGGAGAGTACTCAAAGAGAGAGTGCACCAGGGGAGAGTACACCAGGGAAGAGAACTCCAGAGGAGAGTATACCAGGGAAGAGTACACCAATGGAGAGAACACTGGAGGAGAGTACACTAGGGGAAAGAACACCAGGTGAGAGTATACCAGGGGAGAGTACTCCAATGGAAAGTACACCAGCGGAGAGTACATTAGGAGAGAGAACACCAAGTGGGAGTACACCTTGGGAGAGTAAATCTTGGGAGTGTAATCAAAGGGAGAGTATACTAGGGGAGAGTACACCCGGATAGAGTACACAAGGGAAGAGTATTCCAGAAGGAGGTTACACCAGGGAAGATAGTACACAAGGGAAGAGTACTCCAAGGAAGAGTATACCAGGAGAGAGTTCTCCTAGTGAGAGTAAACCAGGGCAAAATACACCAGAGGAGAGTACTCCATGGGAGAGAACACCAGTGGAGAGTACACGTGGGGAGAATACACCAGGGGAGAGTACTCCAGTATAGAGTACACCAGGAGAGAGTACACCATGGGAGAGATCACCAGGAGATAGTACACTAGGGGAGAGTACACATGGGGAGAGTACTCCTGGGGAGAGTACACCAGAGGAGAGTACACCAAGGGAGAGTACTCCAGGTAAGAGTACACCAGGGGAGAGTACACTTGAAAGTACTCCTGGAGAGAGTACACCAGGGGAGAGTACTCCAGGATAGAGTTCATCAGGGGAGATTACACCAGGGGAGAGTACACATGTAGAGAGTAAACCAGATGAGAGTACACCAGACGAGAGTACACCAGAAGAGAGTACACCAGGGAGTCTAACAGTTGAGAGTACACTAGGGAAGAGTACAACAGGGGAGAGTACTCCAAAGGGGAGTACACTACGGGGAGTACATTTGCGGAGAGTACATCAGTGGAGTGTACTTCAGGGGAGAGTACTCCAGGGAGAAGTACACCAGGAGAGAGTACTCAAGGGGAGAGTGCACCAAGGAAGAGTACACGAACGAAGAACACACCAGGGGAGAGTACACAAGGAGAGAGAACACCAGCGAAGAGTACATCTGGGGAGAGTACACCAGGGGAGAGTACACTATTGAAGAGTACACCAGCGGAGAGTACTCGAGGGGAGAGCACTCCAGGTGAGGGTACACCAGGTGAGTGTACACCAAGAGAGAGTACACCAGGCGAGAGTACACAAGGAGGGAGCACACCAGGGGAGAGTACTTTAAAGGAGAGTACACCAGGGAAGAGTACTCTAAAAGGGAGTACACCAGGGGAGAGTACACTAGGGGTGAGTACACTAGGGAGAGTACATCAGGGGGAGTACACCAGGGGAGAGTACTCCAGGGGAGAGTACATGAGGGTAGAGTTCATCAACAGGGAGTGCACCTGAGGAAATTACACCAAGGAGAGTACACAAAGGAAGAGTACTCTAGAGGAACGTATACCAGGAGAGAGTACACTAGGGAAGAGTTCTCCAGGGGAGAGTATACAGGAGAGAGTATATCAGGAGAGAGTACACAAGGGGAGGGTACTCCAGGGAGAATACAACATTTGAGAGTACGCTAGGGTAGAGTACAACAGGGGAGAGTAACCCGGGGGAAAGTACACTAGGGGGAGTACTTGAAAGGAGAGCACACCAAAGGGGAGTAGTCCAGTGGAAAAGTATACCAGGGGAGAGTACTCAAGGGGAGAGTGGCACCAGGGGGAGAGTACACCAACGGAAAACTCGCCAGGAGAGAGTACACAAGGGGAGAGTACACCTGTGGAGAGTACGCTATTGGAGAGTACACCTGGGGAGAGTACACCAGGGGAGAGCAATCCAGGTGAGAGTACATCAGGGAGAGAACACCTGGGGAGAGTACAGCAGAAGAGAGTACACCAGTGGAGAGTACACCAGGAGAGAGTACAAACAGGGGAGAGTATTCCAGGATAGAGTACACAGGAATAGAGTACACCAAGATAGAGGACACCAGGGGAGACATCACCAGAGGAGAGTACACCAGGGAAGAGTATACCAGTGGAAAGTACACCAGGGGAAAGTACACCAGGTGAGAGTTCATGAAGGAAGAGTACACCAGGAAAGAGTACATCAGGGGAGAGCCTGGTGATAGAACCCATTAACATACCTTGATGATAGGCCCCCATTAACATACCTTGGTGATAGACTCACATTAAAATTCCTTTGTGATAGACTCCCATTAGCATACCATAGCGTCTTGCCCCTATTAGCATCCTTGGTATTTGATCCATTAAGCACAGCTTTCTATATGTCCCTCAAGCACATTTTACTACTAGACTCCATTAACTTAACTTAGCACTAATTCTCATTAGCATACGTTGGTGAGAAGCCCCATTAGCATCCCTTGACACGAAACCCTCTGGTCGTTTTCATGAAGATTAGACTCTGTTGTAGTCAAGCCGATCTTTTATGTCGCCACTACCTAAATATCGGGAAGATATACAACTCATTAATTACTATATTTCATAGTAGAACAACAAATACATGGATAATGACATCACTAGAACTTAATACATTAATGTGAAAATGTTCAAGCCTAAGAAGTCAACTTTTCCCTAAGAGAAAACTTGCAAAGAAAGTCTAATGTCATGACTTACTAGCTGATCCGCCATCCATGGTGATTCCTATTGGTCGGCCATGAAAACGAAAACCATTGTACTGCTTGAGAGCTTGAAGTGCATCTGCTTCTCGGGCAAAGACAATATACGCTGTACCCAATGACTTTCCCAAGTTATCATTGTTAACTGCTGCATTTATAATGGTTCCAAATTCAGCAAACAGCTCCTGAAAAAGATTGAAGATTCTGCACGCGATGAGTCACAATAACGTGGCTGAAGTATGTTGACCAGACCACACACTAGAAATTGAAGGGACGACGACGTTTCGGTCCGTCCTGGACCATTCTCAAGTCGATTGTGTCGTCGTCCCTTCAATTTCTAGTGTGTGGTCTGGTCAACATTGAAGATTCTGTATTGGAGAAGAAGTACATATTAAAAACAGGGTGAGAATAGCTTGAGTTACACCACCTTATTGTTGTGCGTTTTACACGCACTACACTACAATAATAATAATGAACTACAATACAATAATAATATGAACTAATATTTCAAGTTCATATTAGAGTTAACTGATGCGCTAGAAATCTTATTACTGCAGAATTCTCTCATAACTTTCTTTTATTCATATTCAATATTCTTTGACTCACATAAATTTCTGCGTCTGTTACTGTATATCGCAGGTTAGATATGAGGACTTTGGCCGATTCACCCAACTTATGATTGCGGAATCCTTCCCTCTTGTGCATGGTGTTGCTCCTTCTGCAATTGTGCTGTAAAACGTGAATTTTTTTTTAATATATAACATGGTTTCATCGAGTAAGACTTCTTAAAAACTCAATGAAAATGATTTAGACAAAAATAGGAATCATTCAAGCAGAACTAGTAATATAAAAGTTAACGTTCCTCTAATCCGGAATATTATGCCTCTGATTCACTAACTCAGATACAGTTAACATATTAAGAATCATAAAAACTCCATTAGAAATGATTGAAATAGGTTACTTTACATTTTGTAGTTATTAGTTGAAATTTAATTTTTACTAATTATCTCAGATTAATATAAGGAAAGCGTAACTTACTTTGTCTGACTTGCCATAACCACAGTGCTCAAAACAGACATCCTCTGAGGATCTTCTAAACGGTCTCGACATGTTCTTGAACCAACCATATTCATTCGAGTCTTAATATAGTCTTCCAGGCTCATATCAATATCAGCTGCCATGTTTGGAGGTAGAAATGACAGGATGTATCCTTAACTGAATGGATAACCAACACACTATCTTCTAGCCAGTTTACACACAGTCCGATCGACGTTTTTCTGCCAGATTTTCAGATCTATTTATGTTAAAACTCTCGCGTCCACCTCACCTCTACATGTACCTGACGAAATGGAAATAAACAAATCCACAAGGGCCGTGACGAAGATTCGAACCTGCGTCCGGGAGCATCCCAGACACTGCCTTAATCGACTGATGCATCACGTTAGTGTGATTTCTGTGTGAAATGGAAATATTTATGAAATCATCATCGGTTGCAGTCAATTGTATTGGTTTACTGGTTCACCATAGCCCGTGTTACATAGAAATTTTTGTTACTAAATTAGAAATAAGTTCCTTTTAGAGTAGATCAATCTAAAACAACAATAACAACTTGCAATGAAGAAAATCGATACTAAGAACATAAGAACAAAGGTAACGGCAGAAGGCCTATTGGCCCAAACGATACAGCTCCTATTTATAATCACCCAATCCCATTCATATACATGTCCAACCCACGCTTGAAAATTCGAGGGATCTCCACCACGTTATGCGGTAATTGAGTCCACAAATCAACAACCCTGTTACCGAATCAGTATTTACTCAAGTCTTTCCTAAATCTAAACTTATCCAATTTATACCCATTGTTTCGTTTTCTGTCTTGTGTTGATACTTTTAATATGTCATGGGTGACTTTAATTTTAGCGGAATAAACTGGTTGAACAAAACAGGGAATAGTGAAGCAGAAGATTTTCTAGAATTAATTGACGATTGCTTTCTTACGCAACACATTAAGGAACCAACACGGGAAAATAATATTTTAGATTTAGTGTTAACTAACAGGGAAACGCAAATTAATGACATCGAAATAGGGAGTGAGCTAGGGAGCAGTGATCACAAAGAAATCAGATTTAGCATAGAATGGAATAGACCAGTAGGAGAAAATTCTGTTAAAGTGCCAGATTTTCGAAAAGCTGATTTTAATAGCCTAAGAAATTTTTTGGGTCAAATTGATTGGAAAGGCTTGGGTATGGGGTGTGGGCCGGTCTTGGAGCGAGACATGAACCCAGCGATAGGTGACTTAAATGGGGATTTCGATGTGGATTCAATATATAACTTATTTAAGAATATTCTAAACAAAGCACAGGAACGTAGTATACCATACAAATTGAATAGATCGTATACTAATGACCCAAAGTGGATAACAAAGAATTTGAAGAACCTTATAGGTAAAAAGAGAGCTTGGTACAAAAGGATTAAAAATGGGGAGGTCACTTTAGAACAGGAATTCGTACAACTGGTTAGAAATGTTAAAAAAGAGATAAGGAAAGCAAAAAGAAACTATGAAGTTCGCATAGCAGGGCAAGCAAAGACAAATCCTAAAGGGTTTTTTCAGTTATATCGTACTAAGACTAGGGAAAGGATAGGTCCATTAAAACTGAGACAGGTCAAATAACAGATAGTGATGAAGAGATGAGTAGTATTTTTAATAAATATTTTGTATCTGTATTTACTAAAGAGGAACTTAACAATATGCCTTCAGCCGAACAAGTCTATGTGGGTGGGGACGAGGACAGGTTGACGAGTTTAGCAGTTACCAGGGAGGATGTTCTTAAACAAATAGTAAAACTCAAACCAAACAAATCCCCAGGGCCGGATGAAGTGTTTGCTAGGGTGCTTAAAGAATGCAAAGAGGAGCTTTGTGACCCACTGTCAACCATATTTAATAAATCAATAGAGTCAGGCAGAGTGCCAGAGTTTTGGAAAGTTGCTAATGTGATACCAGTTTTTAAGAAAGGAGATAGATCACTTGCGTCTAACTATCGACCAATTAGCCTAACGTCTATTGTGGGAAAGTTACTCGAATCTATAATAGCAAATAAAATTCGTCTTCATCTTGAAAAACATAAATTAATAATTGAGTCGCAACATGGTTTTATAAATGGCCGTTCATGTTTAACAAATTTGTTATCTTTTTATTCTAGCATTGTTGAGGCAGTTGATAGTGGTAAGGATTGCGATGTTGTATACCTTGACTTTAGCAAAGCTTTTGATACAGTGCCACATGAAAGACTGATTAAAAAAATAGAGTCTCATGGTATTGGGGGTGCTATATTAAGCTGGATTAGGGCATGGCTATACCAAAGGAAACAGAGAGTTAGTATAAATGGAATCAAGTCAGAGTGGGAAAATGTTGTAAGTGGAGTGCCTCAAGGCTCTGTCCTGGGACCTCTGTTGTTTATAATATATATAAATGATTTAGATTCAGGTTTGAGTAGCAACATTTGCAAATTTGCCGATGATACGAAAATCGGTAGGGAAATTAATTCGGAGGAGGACTCACTATCACTTCAAGTTGATCTAGATAGGGTTTTGAAATGGTCAAAGGATTGGCAGATGCAGTTTAATGCTGATAAATGTAAAGTTCTGAGGTTAGGTAATGATGATAGAGTTACAAGATACGAGCTAGATGGTGTTGTGATTGCGAAGTCGGATTGCGAAAGGGATCTGGGAGTTATGATTAGTAAGAATTTAAAACAAAAGGATCAATGCATAAATGTTCGTAATAAGGCAAATCGGACACTTGGATTTATTAATCGCAGCGTTAGTAACAAGACACCTGGTGTGGTTCTCAAGCTATATCTTGCTCTAGTTAGGCCCCATTTAGATTATGCAGTTCAGTTTTGGTCGCCATATTATAGAATGGATATAAATTCACTTGAACGTGTCCAGCGTAGGATGACTAAGTTAATTCCCCAAATTAGAAATCTTTCATATGAAGAAAGATTAACAAAGCTTAAGTTGCATTCACTGGAAAGGCGAAGAGTTAGGGGTGACATGATAGAGGTTTACAAGTGGATGAATGGACATAACCGGGGGGATATTAATAGGGTATTAAAAGTATCAACACAGGACAGAACACGAAACAATGGATATAAATTGGATAAGTTTAGATTTAGGAAAGACTTGGGTAAATACTGGTTCAGTAACAGGGTTGTTGATTTGTGGAACCAATTGCCGCGTAACATTGTGGAGGTGGGGTCCCTCGATTGTTTCAAGCACGGGTTGGACAAGTATATGAGTGGGATTGGGTGGTTATAGAATAGGAGCTGCCTCGTATGGGCCAATAGGCCTTCTGCAGTTACCTTTGTTCTTATGTTCTTATGTCAGAAAAACGGCCAGCCTACTCATGAGAACTCTCCAGACACAAAGCAGAACGCTTTAAAAGAGACCAACGTCGTCTATGCCTTCAAATGCCCTCTTGGGGACTGTAAGCTCCAAAAAACCCAGTATATAGGCAAGACAATACATCTCTTTCTAGGCGTTTAACGATGCATTAGCAACAGGGCTCCATTAAGGAACATATAATCTCTTCCCACAACCAAACCATCGCCAGAGAAATCCTAGTAAACAACACAGAAATCATTGATAGATACAGCGATATTAGGCGGCTTGACGTCTGGGAGGCTCTACACATCAAGAAGTCAACACCAGCAATCAACAGCCAATTAATGCACAACTATATTCTACCCACCTCAAGACTCCGCTCCAATATAGGAGCATCAAGAAATATTGACCAATAGGCTTTCTACAAATCACTTCCATTCAAAACCCATTGTTTCGTGTTCTGTCTTGTGTTTATGAATTTAATACCCTATTAATACCACATCACCCTTCCCACCTCACTCAAAAGTAGATATAAAATCAGGGAAATGCAAGTTCTAATCAGTTGTGTATTTGTGAAGTCTTTGAAAATGTAATAAGTTTACGAAACGCGCCCGTGTCGCGTCAGACTAGAAATAAAAATGAATTTTGGAGAAGTGATTTTTGATTTACCTCCAACAGTGAAGCATAATGTACGAAAGATTGAGAAAATTCGTGTTAGAATTATTAATCTTACTTTTTCGGTCATATTTAATAAATATGTCTACAGGAAGACTGCTACCAAAATATACTAATATATATATATATATATATATATATATATATATATATATATATATATATATATATGACATACGTCTATATATATATATATATATATATATATATATATATATATATATATATACTGGTATATATATATATATATAGCTGGACCTTTCGGATTTCTTATAACCGGAAAATCCACAGAGAAATATGAAATGAGGTGAACGTTTCGGCTTATTAAAGCCTTTGTCACCACCAGACGAGTCAGTCTGGTGTTGACAAAGGCTTTAACAAGCCGTTAGAACGTTCACCTCATTTCATATTTCTCTGTGGTTTTTCCGCATAAAATTATCAGTGGTTTGTGATCGTCAATATGCATATATATATCTATATATATATATATATATATATAATATATATATATATATATATATATATATATATATATATATATATATATATATATATATATATATATATATATATATATATATATATATATATATATATATATATATATATATATATATATATATATAATATAAATATATATATATATAAATATATATATATATATATATATATATATCTATTATATATATATATATATATATATATATATATATATATATATATATATATATATATATATATATTTACTGTGTGGTGATTGCAATATTTTTGACCTATGTTCTGGGTTATTGAGAGCACTGGGGTCATTTGCAACAGTAAGTAAGTAGGTGTGTGCAGTATTCTAATACTTGGAAATTATAGTACTTGCCGTGTGTGTTATTGCAAAGGGTTGTTATTTGATGGTGATTGTTGCTAGTGTTGAGCATCACCGTATGTGATTGCAGTTTAGTAAAGCCATTGTGGGCAGTGTTCTAGAGGGCTCATGTCCTGTATGTTATTTTACTAGGTTCTGCAGTATTGTCATAGCAACCGGTGTAACGTAAATCACTGTGATTTGTTAGTGTGGTTTGTCATTGTCGTGGGTGAACTCGGCTGTAGACGAGTACTTGGGTACACATATATT